CGTACCACAGGGGCAGTATTGAATATCTTAAGGGATTTTCCTGTATTAATAACCACAGTGTCTGCAGGTGGTAAAAAAAGGCAAGATGGTGACCATGATGGTGTGGTAGAAGCTCCATTTGTATTTGTGTCACACATGAATTGGAGGTGCTTTGATCATACCATTGTTGCCACCATCTTTTTTTTGGGGGGGGGGTAATAATTTTATTAAAATTTACAAATACAAAGATAAAAGACTAGTTGCCACCATCTTTTTGACTTCATTCTATGGACACTCTTAGTAGTAACATCATTTTGCAGACACTTTTTTCCCTAAAGTGATCTTGAAAGTGGTTGAAGTGGGCTATTTTCTCTAGGATATTGTAGAATGTGTAATCTCTTAATATTTTCCTGTAACAGGAGATGCAGATCTATGGATAGATTTAAAAAATTGAAATAGTGAAATACAAAAAACGATAATAACAAACAGAGGATGAAAGATATTGTAAGTAGTGGTAATATGATAAAATTCAATCCTTAAGCTTATCATTAAATCTAGAACATATATCAACATATTGCTTCATCTTCTCATTTTTAGAATACAGAGACTTTTCAAAAATAGAAAGCAGGTTCATATTCTGAATCTGTTCCTTAAAATCAGGAGGATAAATTTCCATTTACATAAAATTATTCCTCTGGCTGTGCTCCAAGCTCAACTGAGCCAAAATTCTTCTAGAGAAAACAAATGCCATGTTTTAGGAATATAGTTGAACTTCATATTAAGGTCCTTAACTATAATACTTCTTTCCAAAATTGCACTGACATGAATAATAATCTGAAACCAAAGCAAGACCAGATTATACAAATTAACCTCCAAATTTCCCACAATACCACTGTAAAAAATCTAATGTCCAACCTTTATTAAACATTCTTGGAGGACTTCTGAACACAAAATAGTATATTGTGATGAATGAATTTCATGTTTAAGTCATAAATATATTTTGCATTTCTTAACAGTTGGGCCCATTGATTCTCCAAAACTGGATATTCCAGTTCTTCATGCCACAACTTAGATATTTAACTAATACAAACTTTCATTTTACTTTTTAATTCCTTTTCAAATATTGGGAGTTGAAGTCCACACATCTTAAAGTTGCCAAGTTTGAGAAACACTGAATTAGATGGTTGGTTTCCATTTGAAAACTGCACCTCTTAAGGACTAAATTGCAGGTTCCACTGAGGATGCTAAAGCACCTGGCCATATTGGTTAGTTCGTACATGTTTCAGTTGTAGATACAGTTAAATAAATGCTGTTGGTAAATCATATTCAAAACGCATTCCCTTGAAATCTTTGAAACATCTATTAGAAATCAGCTGATTCCAATTACTAATTTCTTGTTTCACTCAAGCATTCCAATTTTATCTTCCTGGGAAATCTCTGCATTTCAATATTTCCCAGGAAATTAATCATTTCACTTATAGAAGTCCCTAATTTTTATGACTGAATAAAAAAATAATAACAAATAACAAATGATGATTAATAAACTCTGTCTCAGTAAGTATCTGTTCACTAGTGGCTTGAATTCCAGATATAACATCTTGAGTTATGAGTCAGTAACTTTCAAGCTTTCTCACCTGACTCCTAGTAGTGCTAATTAAAACATTTCAAAGAGTATTCAAATTGCTCCGAGTATAGTAGTCCCAATTTCAGCTTTGCTGCTATAAAGGCTTGGTATATTCATCTTTGGGGTTTGCAGCATGCAACAAGTGTGATTCTTCAACCATCTTTTCCAACTGTATAAGATTAGAGTCTCTGAGTCACTTTTGAGGTGAAAATGATAATAGATTTTTGAATGAATGCTTCCTAGTGGATTAACGTATTAGAAAAGAGCCCTAAATGTTTAAAACGAAACAAAACAAAAGCAAATTTCTTCCTTGATATATTCCACCAAGGAGAATCTCTTAAAATTGAGATATTTCAAAAGTATCTAGAATTGGCTGACTTGTCAGTTTTAAATTTCAGAATTTGTATCACTGGAGAATGGTCTGAAATTGCTCTGAGGCCTAGTGAGGAGTCCATAACTTGATCCACCAAAGCAAAAAATAAAAATAAAAATGTTCAAGTCATGTTGACACCCAGTAGCACGCTCAGAAAAAGAAGAGAGGAAAATGTTTTTATTGTTTTAAAAAATTTCTAAGAGTTTGGCCAACAGTGCTGCTGAAGAAGAAGACACGTGTGATGGGACTGCAGGACATCTGTTGGTATATTTGTTGGTATATTTTGGTATATATATTTTCAATGGGCAATTTTGTATTCTCTGCACATGGTACATTCAGCTGTCTTATACAAGTAAATCTGTTGCTTGGTGAGGGGCAAGAGGGAGAAGAGGATGTCAGAGAAAGTTTGGATGGCTCATGAAAAATTACTTTCCAGCAATGAAAACCCTGAGCGGAAATTCCCCTGCTTTAGTTTGTTGATTCTTCAAAGCATTTAGATGTGAATCAAATGTTTCAAATGCTAGGAACAAATACTTTCATGAAGTCCTCTTAACATTGTGAAATTAAAAGCTGTTAAAGGTGAGGGGGAGGGGGGAATAGCAGCTGCAGGGCACACTAGAAAGTGGAGCAAATCAGTGGTTTAGTTGGAAAATAATTTTGCTAAGCCAGGAATCATTAGTCAAGCAGAGTTTCAGATTTTGGTTCTGCCACAAACTCATAGCATTAAAAAAATAAATCAGAATTGAAGTATATCTATGCAATCCATCTGAGAGCAATCCAATCCCATGTGGAAGCCAGTATTCATGATTTTCCCCCCTCGGCC